CGTGTGGCAAGCCCCAAGAGGGAACTGATGCTAAAGCTGATGTTCCCTGCCATGCAAGAAAAAAAGGATGTTTTTGTACAAGAGCAATTACCTTTCATAAATCAAATAGTCTTTGTAGTGTCTTCCAACTTTTCCTTTATAAAGAAAGATATATACTGCACCAAAAGAGAATAAATATTTCACTGAGTTTAGGATTAACTGAGTTGGAATAAAAAAGGATTGTTTATTTTTATAGCACTAGGTAGAGGTAATGCAACTGAACATACTACACTTCATATGAGAAACACTTTGAAAGAACGTATTGCATATGTTAAACATATCAGGCCACTGCAGAGGTGTATTTAACAAGACTATGTATTTAGTAGAGTGTAAATATCAGGGAGAAGAACTGAAGAAAAACTGGGTTTGGGGTTGTTTATTGTTCTTGTATTCGCAAGAAAAAGGTGAGGATGGAAATACTAAGCAAATGCGGAACTCTGTAAATTTATGGGCAGTGAAAGGCATCAGTCCTTTACTGGGCTGTCATTCCTGCTTTCCTGTGCCTCTCTGACATTGTCCTTGCTGACAAGTATCAGGTATTGGCTACAAAATGGGTATATTAAGCTGATATTTGTTTTGTTTTGTTTTACTTTATTTTGCTTTGCATTTGTTGTTGTTGTTGTTGTTGTATAAACTGAAAATCATTTCAGCAAGGCATATGCCTAATATCACTTGCAACTTTTAGTAGGTTTTTGATTCAAGCCCAGGCCTCACTGTGTAGACAGAATAGTTTTCTTACTGAGTAGAGTATTTATTCATCCCCTGAACTGGCTGATGTGAAAGCCCATAAGTACATTGCTAACCTTTGTGCTATGAGTTCAGATTTGATGAATTTGCAAGTTGAAGTGAAAGCCTTAGGCTGTAATGTGAGACACATGTCAAGCCAGCGCACATTGACTGGACTGCCAGAGAAGAATTCAGCCTCCAGTCACCTCCCAGCAGCAACTTCTTAAGTGTTTGTGGCATTTTGGCCTTATCGTTCTTTGGGCATATGGGCGACGTGGTTGAAATACAAGCTGTGAAGAATGACACAGTACTCCTGAAGTTTTTATTGCTGTACTTCTCTGTGGGAGATGCAAACTGGTAGTCTTACTACATGTCATCAAACAAAGATTATTTTTAATAATAAATTTAAGAAAGTAATCATTTGAGTGTAGAATCTTTTGTTTTCTATACGCTTGATCATGTACTCAGCATCCCACATTTGTATGCTTCATGATGGACTGACCCTATTGGGCGATTGACTTCCCGGGGAATTATATGGCCATCTGAAATATATTGTTGCTTGCTTCAATAGGTTGATCTGTAATTGTTGTTTTCACCTGTCCCAACTGTACCCATTGGTGGCAAGAGCAGCAAGCATGGTTTCCTCCCCTTTGGCTCAACATGGCCAGATTTCAACTCTCAGCAGTCCCCACTCTCCTGCAGCATCCAGAATAACACCCCAACCTCTTCCTCTACATATCAGATACCTTCCCCAAAACAGTCAAGAGGTTGCTCAGGCCCCTCGCTTAGAGCTCTCCCTGTGGGAAGGTAACTCTCCGAAGCCCTGCTTGGTTTATCAGGGATAGACTAGCAGCAGGGGAAAGAGGGAGATCACGTTTCCTTAGCATCAGCCAACCTGGTACATATTCTTCTATCGTGTATTACCATCAAATGGCAGCACCATCCCTTTCCTTTTCCCATTTATATGCCGCATATATGTCAGGACAGCTTCCTCTTCATAAAACCTTTCAGTTCCAAACTGTATCAGTGTAGATGGTCTGCTTCTTATGCAGTCTTTGAATCGTTGAAGGACAAAATATTGCTGAGTATGAAATAGGCAGAGTCTAGTTGGTTTTGTTCATGCAAATAGCCATGGAATGAAATGTGTGTTTGAATGTTTGTAAAAGGGTAAGATTCAGACCAGCATCGGCTCAGTTACCAGGAAGAATCAGCAAGACCAAATGGATTTGGGAAAAGACCACATTTATATACCTAATTAATTCCAGACTGGAAAATTAAAAAATATATATACTAAAACACAAATTGACTGAACTTTAAGCAGTGCAGTTATGAATCTGCTAGAGCATAAACATTCTTCTTTAATTGATTTTATGCCTCATGTGATAGAAATTGCAGCTTAGTTTCAAAATGTTGTATAAAGGCTGAATAGGATTGAACCCTTCAATTTAACGTTTACATTAAATACTATGCAGCAAAACCACTAATCAGCAGTACTCATTTGACATTACTGAAAATCGAAGTTTGTAGTAACTGCCACCAATAGCAAGTTTTCTCTTTTTTTTTACAATTTATCTTCCTTTCAGTTTCTAGTGGAGAGATTTCCTCAACCCCATTAATCTGGTTAGTCAGGTTGTTCAGCATTTTTTAGCTGTGATTTACCATGGGACATTAAATATTTGCATAGGAGCCTGCTTACAGAACAGTCATCTGAATGAACTACTCCTTCAGTCTTGTAGAAAACAGTCACCACCTCTTTTCTGTCCAGTGGCTGTTTGAAAATCATTACTGCAGCAAACACCTAACGTTGAATGTCTGATAACTTGAGTTTTTATTGAGTGTTTCTGTCTGGTGGGCTTGTGGCTCCTGTGGATCTTTTGGAAATCTGACCATCAGTGTCTACACGAAGATCTCAGTGCTTGCCCTCACAGCTGCAGCAGGAACCCATGGAGCTCAGCTGTTCTCTCCTGTTTTGAGAAATTTCTGCCTAAGGAGGAAATCTTCACTGGGTAGAGAAGAGGAGGAAGAGTAAAAAGAGGACCAAAACTTCTGCTAAGATGCACTGAGTGTCCTGTGCTAGAGTTGTGCCAGAACTAATGAATTTTGGGTGGGAGAAGGAAATATATTTTTTGACTTTTGAGTGGGTGAAAAGAAATTATGAGTTCTTTGTGGGATAAATATAGGAAATGTCTTCAGGATCAAGGTGGAAAATGTGAGAACCTACTATACAACATGTTGTCAGTGTAGCAACCCTGCTGGAGGTTTTGAAGTTTATTGCTGTCATCAGAGGGAATCTGAAATTTGCACTTTAGAACAGAACATCATAGTTCATACAGCAACATAAAGACTCCTATAGCACAGAGTGGAATCTTGGCTAAAGAGTCTGGTAAAATAAGAAGTGCTGAAGAAAGAGGCAGCTTTAAGTAAGGCTATGGAAATGTCCATTGAGACTGAGTATGCACAAGAAAAGAAAAAATTATCTGCTCAGGGATTTACAAGTACTAGTAAAGAAAGTCATCAAATACTTACGTTATGTGGTAAGACAAAAGACATAATGTATTTGATATAAAAAGCGAAGAAATCAATGTGACTTGAAGGCTAAATGAGGTAATGCCGTATTAGGGGTCTTGTTTTGTTTTTGCAAGTGCTTACTGCTAATAAAATGGGAAGAACAAAAATTTCCAGCACAACGCAGTCCACCCAGGTAGAGTTACGTAGGTTCTTGCAAGGCTATTGGCCTGTGAAAAGCACCGTTCTCTTCTAGACCTCCTGTCACAGAAGAAGAAGGTTTTATATAGAAGTTGTCTACCTTGCCTGCTGTAGCCAATGGGAGGAAAATCTGATGAGTATTTTAATTACTAAAACTCCAAAATATTTCTTAGCTGGTAAGCAAAAGTACTCAGTTTCATTCTAAACTCTTAGGTCCAACACAGGGAATGTGTTCAGACTTGTGCCTATGCACATAAACAAACAATTAGTTCATAAGTGTCCATAGGTTCAGACTTCAGGCTTAATACTTTAATGATCAAAATAATTAAAAATACCTTTTTGGGATTCAACTGTATCCACACAGCGTAACAGCTAAGTGTAGGAAATACTTTAAAGCAAATGTTCAAGCAAAGTCATTAACAGAAGTTCAAATACATCTCCTTTGAGACATGTAAATTTAAAAGCCATGGGCATAATCTTATGAACATATTTCAAATTATAAAATTAGATAGCTACTGATCCATGGGCATTAAGGTCTAACCAAAGATCCATTTGCAATTACAATTTGGTTCAGCATTTCAGATCTCCATAGAAAGGTTTCTCAGCTACCTGGAGACTTGACACTGGAGATGAGCACCGTGGACTCATCTTTGCTGCTAAAGAAGCTCTTTCTGTAGCTCGGGGGAACTGCTGTGCACCGACTGCCCTCCAGTAAAACACAGCGAGGGCGAGGACGGAATGTTTCTGTGTGGTAGGGTGGTCGTGTTGCCAATGTGCTTGTCTCTCATAGCAAAAGCAGAAGTGCATACTTTGTGGCAAAAGTGCCTTCCTTGTAGTTCCTGCATAAGAACAGCTTGTTTGGGTTAGCTGCTCTTGGAGAGAAAGAGAAAGGAAAGAAATTAAGAAGAACAGAAAGCCCCTTCACATTCAAGAAGACACAAGGACTGGCCGAAGTCTTGGAGCATTTGTGGGATTATGTATTTAGGTCTAGAGCAGGTTAAAAAAAGAGCTTCTCAGACCCTTGTCTGGAGGGTCAGTAATGTTGTCCCCACTGAAGTGCAAGCCAGTCTTTCAGCAAGTCAGTGTTGGAAATGGCTTGTTCATTAGGCCAGGTTCTGAGAGTGCTTTTGAGCTGGACAGGGACGGTGGAGTAATGGCACAAACATGACAAAGAGTTTGCAATGCTTCTTGTTTCCGTCATTTTCATCTTTAAAACAATATTACGGTTTAATATGAGCTGGGTTAGACCAGATGTCACTAACAACTCAGCTGAAGTTTGTCAGAGAAAGGAAACACAAAGGAAGAACAGCATCTTATGATGCTTGACCCAGGCGATTTAGTGCCTCTAATAGCTGTTACCTTGCCAAAATTTAAATTACTCCTCTCAGTCCATGATAGGGATTCTTGTATTTGCAGAATTACCTACAGGTTGTTCCTCTTGTCTTCACAAATCAGCCTAAACTTCCGAGCTGAGAGATCTGACCAGATCTGACCAGCGAGCGGGAAGCAGGAGGCTGCTGTTCATGTCCATGCAGGCACAGATCGCAGGGCTGCTGCAAGGCGGCAGAGCGCTCCTTCCGAGGTAAGGGCAACTGCCAGCTTTCATAAAGTTATTTAAGTGCCTAAATGTTGCAGCCTCAGCCCTCAGGGGTTCTGTGTTGCTGTCCCGAGAATGGTTTATTCAGTGGTTTATCTTCAAAAGTGCAAGGCATTTATGATGGAAGGATGAAGATCTGCCTAAATAGCAATACTCCTTTTATCAGCAGTAGTTGGTAGATCTGGATCTTTTTGTCTGTCTCCTCTGTGCAGAGGGGAGTTTAATTACTTGTTTTGGGAGTAGATGTTTATCCTAAGACCAAGTGTGTCTGTCAGACAGGTTTTTGTTTCTTTCACTAGACAAACCCATTGATCATTCCGCTCAACAGGATTTTTCTTATGAATACCTCACATGCAAAAATAAACCACAGAGCAATGTCGTTGCCTTCCAGCAAGAGCCTAAAGCTCTTTCTCATCCTCTTTGGTATTTCCTTCACCTTTTTATTCAGTCACCTTAAAGAAGTCAGGGATTCTCTTGGCTGTTGGAGTGCTGAGTTTGACTCCTTAGGAGCTACGAAGGCTCTTGCAAAACAGAAGTTACTCAGCAGCGACATAAGGTGCTCTCCGTGTCCGGACTGTGCAGGCAGTGTGACAGCCTGCAGCAAACAGCAAGGCGGGAGAATCATTCCCTGAGTTCTTCTTTTAGGACTTCTCCTCTTCCCAGATGAATGAACTAAACTAAAGTCAATGACTAGAGGCGGGATGACCTTTGAAATCTTCCATTCATTAAAATCTTGAACATATCCTATCTGTGCTAAAATGAATGCTTAGAATTTCTAAGGTTTTGTCTGTGCAGAATACAGGTCATAAATGATGTCTTCATGACAAGTCAGATTAAAATATATATACATGATAAGGCACCTTTTTAACAGTGCTAATATAGGAAACTAAAGTCTACAAAAGTAAAAAAAATGTGTTTATATTAAAACAAAAATGTTGGCAGTCTAATGAGCAAAGTTTCCTTTCAGATAAGTTGAAATGATGAATTGCATGTGTGGCTGGGGAATCAGCCTTGCCCTTTTGTCTCTGAAAGTGTATGAGGAGAATTTTACACTTTTTTTTTAACTGAACATCTGATAACTTCATAAAATAAAAAAAAAAGTGGCAGTACATTTCTAAAGGCAGACATTTCTGTATCTCTGGACCTTCCCCTACTACGTCACCTTGATATAGGACAGTAAGAAGAGCAAGGTCAAGCATGGTAAATCCCACCTGAAATTTTCAATCCTGTATTTATAGTCCTGCATTTCAGCATGTATATTGCTCTTGAAATCAGTGTTCATTCAAAGCATAAACATTAGCTTTTCCATGTGAAAGTGTGGCTTGGAATTTAGCACTCCCTCCTCAAATGTTCCTTAAAAGTGTGATAGTTTTGCTTTTCACTAAGGGCTGGACCATGCCTTGCAGGCGCAGCTCAGAGTTAAGGCTGCCAGAGGCTCTCTGCCTGGCAGAGACCTGTTTAAGTCTCTTCCATACATGATGGCGTTAAAGAGTGACTGGCACAACCAACATGCTCCTGTCTCCAGCGTGGTCACCAGCCTGCTGTCTCTTTTTAGTTTCTGCTGTGAGTCATCCTGGCTGCCTGAGGCAAGGACTAGAAGTGATTGTTCTACAGATAGGTGCTCCCCTCCCTGCTCAGGCCCTGCTCTCCTCCTCCTCCATTCCAGCTACCATATCCTGGGGTAGGGCTTAGGCAGACACTTCTGCAGCGTGAAGGGAGAGCAGAAACTCCACTTCTCACTGCTGCAACAGAGTATTCATGAGATGATTGGTTTGTGTGATGCAGCATCTCCATTGGCCTGTTACTCTAAGGATTTCCAAGAAAAATAATAACCTGGTAGAATGGCTGAATGCTAAATCCCCCCAAAATGGAGTTTGGATCAGGATCCAAACAGGATCCTGTTGGTGCCTTCTTGCCATAGTGTCTATGACATGCTTTCACACATCTCACATGGTCATTTTAATTCCCTCCACACACAAATAAAGGCAGAATCTGCAGCAGAACCACCGTGATCTCCTCTCAAAAATAAAACTCAGCAACTTGCCTCTCAAAAGCTTGTCATGGTTGTTTTTTGCCATGAGATGTACATTTTTTTTGCCATGAGATGTACATTTTTTGCAATGAGATGTATAAAAGCTTAAGTGAAAAACAGCTCTATAGAGGCTGCTTTGCTTTTTTTTTCTCTTTTAATTAGGTGAAAGATTTTTTTTATATGTCCTCTTACCTCTACAGTTTTAAACAGATGGATATTCCTGAGCCTCTCAGCTCTAGTAACAGTTTTATGAAGATCTTCGTAATGTTGAATGAAATGAGCAAGCCCCACATACGACCTATGGTTGTGCCTAAGTTACTGCTATCTAATATGTTCATGACATTGTAAAACAGTTTAGCAGGAATTTTGGATACAGAAGTAAAATGTCTTCCTGTGCACTCCAAAGCAAAGTTTGCATTTCCACTATTGTGGGACTTTTTAAATTTTACAGAATTACATTGTGATTTAGCTGAGATAGTAGGAAAATAAGAGGATTTCTGCTTGACTTTTTTTCTTCCCCCTCACTATTATTCCTGTTTGGTTTTGTGATAGCTGAGTAAGATTCAAAGCCAGTCTTCCTTCCTCCTAAAATAAACTATCAAAATACATATTGCCTGTAGTTGTGTGGTACTTGCCAAGCAAAAGGAGACCTCTGCTTTTAAATTCACCTGTGTTCTTTCCATACGACTTCCTGCTCTGTCCTTTCTCTCTCTGGGAAGCCTGGTCTTCCAGGAAGGTAGTCAGAGAAGTCTGCAAATAGCCCTTCATGCCACACTGTCACACACCGGCTTCACTGGGTCTAAACTGCCTCCATGGTTCCAGCTCTGAACGAGCCATTCCCCAGAGTGGCAGGTCATCGTGCTGGAATCCGAGGTACAGCATTACCCAGAGAATGGTCCTACTCTGTGTCTTGTGTGTAAGTATAAATCTGCAGGTGACGTAAGATCTAGATATTCAGATGTTAACATCATGGCAAAGAGCAGCAAATAAAATGTAGTTATTTATCTCGAAAATGTTTTGGCCAGTGAGTTTCTTCAGAGCACTCACAGAGCATTCAGTGCCCCATGTGCAGCACTGTTGATGCTCAGGTGTCTTTGCCACTGCCTTGGAGCATGTATGCCCACCACATTTGGGAAGATTGTATTTCTACTGTGCCAGGCCCACCTCATGGAGTGGAGGGAAAGCAAAACTTGCTCTTCCCACTGCCAAAACATATAAGTTTCAGATTCAAACAGTTTTTGAGAGAAATTTGGGCATTAACAAGCCAACAAGTGATTTAAAATATAAATATGCTGCTTCTCTCTGAGCATGTACGTGGCTGTTTCACTGTTGCACTGTCTTTCCCTCATCTGATGCTTAGAACATGAGTAGTGACTTTGACGCAGGGCAGCATTTGCGCTGGAGGACAGGGGACTGCCTACGTGGCGGGCAGCTGGTACTTCCTAGTACCTAGTAGTAAATGGGGGTAGAAAAACTACCTGCAGAAAGTAGTTCACATCCCTTGGTGTCTTCAAAGTCCCAGCTGTTTAGCATGAAGCTGTCAGAACTCACCCGGATATAGTCACTGGGTGTTAAGAACTGAAGCCTTAGCAGCATCCAGAACTTTTTATGGATAGTGGTTTCAATAAGCTGAAACACCTACTGTTTTTTCCATCACGATACTGAATTTCCACTAATTAGGTTATTCTGTACTGACTTTTTAAACTTAATCAATCTGATACGCAAGTTGCCAGGGGAAAGTGTCAATAGCTATTAAGATTACTTTTCTTACAATACACTTTAAAATTACTTATCAGCACTTCATAGTGCTCCTACACGCGGAGCGCTAATCAAATTTTCTGATTAGGTGAAATTCTAGACTTCCATCAAAGTTTTTTTCATGCCAAATTGCAGTAATAATTGTTCCATCACTTCTACTCAAGGGAATCTCTCCAGTGCTACAGATATAATTTCATTTCTAAACTGACTGCATAATTAAATAATACTATATAGCCAGCAGTAATCTTTCTCCATATTTAAATGTAAATATTACCAGTTAGCAAGAGTAGCCATAGCATCCCTAATTGGATGTGGATAATTATATGTTACAACTAAAAGATGTTAACATTAAGGTTGAAAAAGTCAAGCACTTAGAAGTGGGGCAGTGTCAGGATTAATGTTGCCCAGGCAACTTCAAATTTTCTCTCATTCGTTTGCATGAATGATGTTAGGTTTTAATTACAGAATCATACTCTTCTTGAAGTCCTTTGCATCATTCAGTAAACTGATAGTAACTGAAGGTTTCTTTTTATCTTACTTATTAAAAGAATGACTCCAAGCCTTGTGTAACTCAGATTAACCCAACCTTGCACAACATACATTTCTATTAATTTCCTCCGTGTGTCTTTTACATTCTCACCACATCTGAACACTGTCTCCAGAAGGGCTGTGAGTGTCCAGTTGCTTAACGTCCTGTTTAGGAAGAGCTGAGGTTGCAGCTCAGCTGCCTGGATTAGTCTTCAGGCTACTGAAGTGCAAAGAGTGTAAAACTCATCAGAATGGGATCTGCCAAGTGCCTGCAGGCAACACAGAGCCTCAGAAGGACCAGCAGCAACGCCCCGCACCCACTGCAGGCCCACCGGGAAAAAAAGAATTTTCCAAATCCTCCGTACAGCCGAGTGTACGTCCTCCATACACTGTCCTGCTTTTAAGGCTGATGATAAATACACTGTGTTTCATACAAGGTTGCAAAAGTGCTCACTGATCACAAGTGCTTCAGGAGTAATTTTTCTAAAGTAGGAGTATTTGCGTATCTTGCTGTTCCAAATATTTCTCCATACATCTCCAGCTATCGTAGGGTAGCGACTACTGCCGGACTGCAAAAGGACTGAGCTTCCCCAGGGACTTCGTGTGAAAGCCTTGCCCTGGAGAGCTAGGCAGACTTCTTCAAGCAGCTTGATCAAGCATCATGTGT